AAAAATACAAAAATTAGCTGGGTGTGGTGGCAGGTGCCTGTAATCCCAGCTACTCAGGAGGCTGAGGCAGGATAATTGCATGAACCTGGGAGGCGGAGGTTGCAGTGAGCTGAGATCGTACCACTGCACTCCAGCCTGGGTGACAGAGTGAGACTCTGTAAAGCAAACAAACAAACAAAAAAAAAAACTATAGGGAGGTTAGGGAGGTTAAACAGAGTCTAGAACTTTTGTTAGTCCTATTTTTAATTATTTCTAGTATTGATACAACTTTTTGGGATCCACAATGTGTGCAAGAATTGGGCATTAGCTTTGATTACACCTATGTTTTATGAACAATTATTGGTCCTGACCTGTTTGTGAACCTTCCTGTAATAGCCATTCTTGAAATTGGGCAGTAGCCTGTCACAGGTTCTCTTTGTTTTACATAATTTGTTTACCTTTTCAATCATTTTCTGAAACATAAAAAGAAGTAAAGCCTTTATATTTGCCAGAAATAAACCTGCCCTTTGATCTGTCTTATGTTTCAGGCTTAGTAAACACCCTATACTTTGCAAATGGCTAATTCTGTTAGCCTACATTTAAGTCTAGTGTGGCTCCATTCCAGACAGGTGAATTTTTTTCTCTAGAAATGAAAGACAAATGTCTCATTTTATCTTTTACAGATCTCTTATAGAGGTCTTAGCCTTTTGATTTGTTACCTTAATAAATACTTCTAGGTCAAAATATTATAAGAACATATTCTGCAAAGGACCAAACCTTACATAAAACTTTTCTTACAGGCCCCAAATAAACAAATTTAAGTATTTAACTTACTTGTTCTCTTATATAATTTCTTTCAAAGTCTAATTTTAAACTAGTCAGATACTGCCTGTTCTTACTCAACTCCTTCAAGGAACATATAACCTACAAAAACAAAACCAACAATATAAATACAACACTGTAACAATGATAACACTTTACAGAGGAGAGGATGAAAAGAATATTCATTTTAGTAAAAATTTGGGATAAGGTCTAATAACAACACATTTTGGTGACAATTTTGAAGTCAGCATCTTTATACAATTGCTGTCTCACCAAGAAATTTCTATCCAAATATTGTTTTATTAGTATGGTTCATATCATAATCAGGAATTTACTATTCCCAATCAAATTGTTATTAAAACACATATATAATAATGATGCTTAACTCCCCAAAGAATTTATTCTATCAATCTGTATTTTGCTACTTTCTCATTTTGTCTCCCGTTTTCTCAAAGTGTATGAGAAATATTCTTTGACAGGTAGACGGTGATACTATTACTTTTAGAGCCAGAGGAAAAGCACTACAATACAACTGGGTGAAAATAAATAAATAAATAAATAAATAAATAAATAAATAAATATGCGTGTGTGTGTGTGGTGTATGTGTGTGTGTATCTTTACATGCTCAAATCATTGGTAATATCTGTTGCTACTAAAATGAAAATAAAGGTCAAGTAGGAACGAGTTTTATTTAGACAAAACAGCTACCTGATTTTCCTTGGCCCCAGTACTGAGTTATTCATTGAGTCTTTTATTGGGTGTCCTCTATTGCTCAACTGAAAGTTGACACAGGCTCCCAGTGAGGTAAAGGGAAGCACCTAGGTCTTGGCTGGTTAACAGGAGGTATGCTTCAATGCACTTTATTATTGCTAGTGATGTAGCCACCCTTCTTTAATGGCCTCAGGATATCTTTTCACTGATAGCATGTTTTCAAATGTGCATCATGTAGACTTTTATATACCAGGTTTCCTACATTTGGCAGTAAGGATCAGTCAGGTTAAAATCCTAAGAAGGTTAAAAAAGTCGCAAACAAGTAGATTCAAAAGTATTACAAATTTAAAAATAAATGAAGCCACACTTTTAAACATCAATTTATTTAAATGATTAGGCTGTTCACTGAAAATAAAACATGCAAGCAGAATGGGAAGTGAGAGAATACAGACAATGGGTTGATTTGGGTAAACCTAACTGCTTTCTCTCCCTCTCCTCTCCCAGGCCTGTCTTTAGGCTGGAAGTGTCCTGTGGAATCCCTGTCTGTGAACCCTATGTTCAGTCTTCCTGTAGCCTCAACCTCACTCCAATTCCTGAACACAGAGGTTGGGATTGACTGTTTTGAAGGAGAGGAGGAGAGTGCATGTCGTTTTGGGAGCTGGATGGACAAAGGCATAGAAGTAGGAATCAGCATGGTATGTGTGGGCAAGCAGAAAAGACCCCAACCTGTCAGTTAAGACTCTTGGGTTGGAGATAAGGTTGGATGGGGTGGCTGAGGCGTATCATGGGGCTTTCTGTCATTAAAGTGAGGTTTAAGAATTTAAACACTTCAACTCATTTAACTTGGTGTGTAAAACTGAAGTTAACACAAAGCAAAATCATAGCAAAATGTTGCCTGTTTAACAGCAAACTGAAAAGGGTAAAGAAAATCACTTAAGCACTATTAAAACTTAGTTTACCTTCTTACTTAGAACTGTAGTATAGAATAAATACATTATCGCTTCCTGGGATAACAGGCAGCTTGACCCCAAGACGCAGATCCAAAAGATATGCTCTGACCTCTGGAATGGGGTTTTCCTGCGAGCTCTGTCGGATGCAATTGGAAGTTTGTATTTTCTTCTGTAAATTGGTGCAAAAGTAATTGAAAGTAATGGCAAAACCGCAATTACTTGTGCACCAACCTAATAGAAATTATTAACTTAGTTTAGACCAAACCTATTATTACTTCCTATTAAATAGGCTAATACCTCCAAATAAACCAAAGAGCCATGCATTCAGGGTTGAAGGAACCCTCCAGGTCGGCTGACAACTTGGAAAACCTCCTCGTTTTTCTGGGTTACCAGTTCTACCTCTAGACCCCTGCCAGTGGTGGCCAGTGGCCGCCAAAGCCACCGGCTACCCAGAGCCAAGGGGCTGAAAGCTGAGCTGTCAAGAATCCGCCCCGTTCCCTCCCACTCGTGATCTCCCTACTCGGTCTGTCTGCCTTCCGGAGACCCTCCTTTGGGGCCAGGAGTAGGAAGAGGAACCGGCCTCCACTCACGGTGCGGCACTGCTTCTTGCCTGCATTCAGGCTGCTGGCGGCCGCCTTAGTGGCGGCGGCTTCGGCAGCCTTATAGTAGTTGCGGAGGTACAGCTCCAGGGCCAGCCTTCATTCCCCAGGGGGCCGGACGCTGGGGTAGCAGGCGGTCCTTGTTTCTCCTCATTCACACCCTTCACGCTCTAGGTCCTCATAAGGTCTGGGCTGCCAAGATCGGGTAGCCAGGATACAGCGTTCTCTAGGCCACGCCCCTCACAATGCTGCCTTCTAGACTGGAGAGCTGACGTCCTCAAGGGGCGTCACCCTCGGAGGTGGGTGGGCAGCGGGTGACGGGGGGAGTGGTGACCGCTAAGCCTCCCCAGGCGCACATGCGCAAGAGGCTTCAGCGCCTTAGAGTCGAAATTTAATATCTCTTTGAAACCAATACCCCTCATTTAAACTAAACCAAAATATATCAGGCTTTGTCCATGGTAGCTGTGATTGTACTGATTTCTGTTCAACAAACGTCGATGAGTAATTGTGTAGTTTTTATTAGGGCCATAGGACTGACTTTTACATCTATCTCCTTTATAGACACTGTGACCCTCCTTCCTCTAGGCATACCACCCCCAGTCCCATGTAGAACACTTGGTTTCTTCAAGGGCTCAATACCTTTCTCCCTGTTTTTCTCTTTTCTGTCTTGGGCTCATTATCTCTCACGCCCTCCTCTTCCTCTTTCTTTCTTCTATTTATTTTTTCTACCTTCTCATTCAATCAGCCAACGTTTATTGAGTGTCCACTCTATGCCAGACACTGCTGGTTCCTGACAGTGAGTACACTGATAAAACAGTGAGTAAAACATAGTCTCTGCTGCCAAGAAGCTCACTAGACTGAAAATACATGAAAGGACTGAGACTGTACCTAGTTCATGCTCTGTCTCCACGTTATCTATCTATCTATCTGTCTATCTATCCATCTATCTATACATCTAAGACACATCATAATTTAACTTCTGAAAACTAATGACAAAGAAAAAAATTCTTGGAAGCAGTCAGAGATAAAAGAAACATTATTTACAGAAGAACACCAATTTGAATGTGAATTTGAAACCATGGAGGCCAGAAGGAAGAGGTGCAGCATTTTTTAAGTGCTTTAGCATTTTCTTTTAAGAAACAAATTGTCAACTGTGAATTCTATACCTAATGAAAATATCTTTCAGCAATGAAGAAGAAATAGAGACATTCTCAGATGAAGGAAAACTAAAAATGTGTTGCTAGCAAACCAGTCTTAAAGAATGGCTAAAAGAAGTTATCTACGCAGAAAGGAAATGATAACAGAAGTAGGCTTAGAACTTCAGAAGGGAAAAAAAAAAAAAAACCCATAAGAATGGATATAAATAGGGATAAATATAATAGACTCTTCTATTTTTCTTGAGTTTCTTAAATCATATTTGATGGTTGAAGCAAAAAGTATAAGAGCATCTGATGTGGTGGTTGATACCTGCAAAGGAAATATTTAAGACAATTATATTTTATTTTTCTTTTTCAAATTTTATTTTAGGTTTGGGGGTATATGTGTAGGTTTGTTACATGTGCAAATTGTGGATTGATGGGGTTTGGTGTACAAGTGATTTTGTCACCCAGGTAGAGAGCATAGTACATGATAGGTAGTTTTTTGACCCTAACCTTCCTCTCATTCTCCACCCTCAAGTAGGCCTCAGTATCTATTGTTCCCCTCTTTTAAGACAATTATATTTTGAAAGTGGGAAGTGCAAAGGGATGTAAATGGAAATAAGGCTTCTACACTTTATTCAAAGTGGTAAAATATTAATACCGTAGGTTGTGGTAAACTATATATATATTGTAATCCCTAGAGCAACTACTAAGAAAACTATACAAAGTGATATATTCAAAACATTATAAATAAATCAAGATAAACTTCTAACAATGTCCAAGTAGCCCACAGGAAGGCAAGAAAAGGGAAATAGAGCAATGAGAAACAGGGGAAATAAACAGAAAACAAACAAAACGGCAGACTTAAGCTCTAACATACCAGTAATTACTTCTATAAGCGTAAATGGTCGAAACCCAGTAATGAAAACACAGATTGGCAGAACCAATTCAAAAATACATGATCCAACTGCATGCTATCTACAAATACTATACACTGCAAATTCAATGATACATATAAGTAGGCTGAAAATAAAAGGATGGGAAAAGATACTCAAAGCACATTTTAATTTTCAAAAGTAGGAGTGGCCATAATTATGTCAGATAAAGTAGACTTTAATTGCTAGAGACAAAGAGAAACATTACATAATGAACAAAGATCAATCCACCAGGAAATCAATGATTCTAAATGGACAGGCACCAAATAATAGAGCCTCAAAATACATGAAGCAAAAAAAAAAACAATAGAGATAACAAAAGAAATAGACAGTCACAATTATAGTGTTGGACTTACTAAATGCCTATCAACAGGAGATTGGACAAACAAAGTTTATGCTGTGCTTACGCCCATATAGCAGTTTAAGTTTAAAGACTTGGAGCTATGTATGTTAACAACGTGTATTTCAAACCATAATCTTGAGGGAAAGCTAGCAAGAGTTGATATAACTGTGGAATGATATAACTTATTTGAATCAGCAGCCTGACCAACTGGAATCCTGGGGGTGACCTTACTCCCTCAGCCTTGGATGGCAGCCCTGCCCCTTCAGCCCAGGGCAATAGCCCCGCCCCCAAGAACTCTGGAGGTGGTTCTGCCCCCTCAGGCATAGGAAGTGGCTCTGCCCCCTGGAGACTTGGAGGTGGCTCTGCCCCCTAAGCCTTGGATGGAAACCCGCCCTCTCAGGCCTGGTGGTGGCCTGACCACCTCAGCCCTGGATGGCAGCACCACCATCTCAGCCCTGGGCAGCGGCCCCGCCTACTGGAATCGTAGAGGTGGCTGATCCTCTGGTACTCTGGTGGTGACCTCACCCCTCAGCTTGGATGGCAGCCCCATCCTCTCAATCCTCTCAGCTTTCAGCAGGGGCCATGGACTCTAGAATCCTGGTGGTGACTCCACTCCCTCAGCTTTGTATGGCAGCACCAATCCCTCAGCCCTGGGCAGTGGGCCCACCGTCTGGAACCCTGATGACGATATCGGTCCCACAGCCATGGGTGGCAGCCCCACCCTCTCAGCACTGGGCAGTGGTCCCGCCATCTGGAACCATGGTGATGACCCCACCCCCTCAGCCTTGGGTGGCAACACAGCCCCCTCAGCCCTGGGCAGTGGTCCCACCTTCTGGAATCCTGGTGATGACCCTACCCCCTCAGCCTTTCGTGGCAGAACCACCCTGTCAGCCCTGGGCAGTGGTCCCACCCTCTAGAATCCTGGTGATGACCCCCTCAGCCTTGGGTGACAGCACTGCCCCCTCAGCCCTGGGCAGTGGGACCACCCTCTGGAATCCTGTTGATGGCCCCACCCCGTCAGCCTTGGGTGGCAACACCGCCCCTTCAGCTCTGAACAGTGGTCCCACTATCTGGAATCCTGGTGATGACCCCACCTCCTCAGCCATGGGTGGCAAAACTGCCCCCTCAGCCCTGGCCAATGTTCCCACTATCTGGAACACTTTTGATGACCCCATCCCCTCAGCCTTGGGTGGCAGCACCACCCCCTCAGCCCTGGGCAGTGGGCCCACCATCTGGAACCCTGCTGGTGACCTCACCTCAGCCTTGGATGGAAGCTCCGCCCTTTCAGCCTTAGGCAGTGGACCTGTGCTCTGGAATGCTACTGGTGACCGCCCCTCAGCCTTGGGTGGCAGTTCTGCTTGCAGCCTTGGACAGTGGACCCATGCTTAGGTACCCTGCTGGTGACCTCACCTCAGCCTTGGGTGGCAGCTTTGCCCTTGCAGCCTTGGGCAGTGGCCCTATGCTCTAGAACTCTAGTGATGACCTCACCCCCTCAACCTTGGATGGCAGCACTGCCCTGGGCAGTAGACCCACCATCTGGAACCCTGCCAGTGACCTCACCCCTTCAGCCTTGGATGGCACCACCGCCCTCTCAGCCCTGGGCAGTGGACCCACCATCTGGAACCCTGCCGGTGACCTCACCCCTTCAGCCTTGGATGGCAGCACTGCCCTCTCAGCCCTGGGCACTGGACCCACCATCTGGAGCCCTGGTGGCAATCTCACTGCAGCAGCTGTGGGTGGCAGCATCACCCTCTCAGCCATTGGCAGTGGCCCTGTGCTCTAGAATCCTGGTGATGACCTTGCCCCCTCAGCCTTGGATGGCAGCCCTGCACTCTCAGCCTGGTTAGTGCCCCCACCCTTGGCAACCCTGGAGGTGACCCCATTCCCTTACCCTTGGATGGCAGTCCCACCCACCCTCTCAGCCCTGGGCAGCAAACCTACTCTCTGGAACCCTACAGGTGAATCTCTCTTTCAGCCTTGGTTGGCAACACCCCCACTTCTCAGCCCTGGGCAGCAGCACCACCTCTGGAATCTTGGCAGTGTTTCTACCCACTGAAACCCTGCCATTGTCCTGACACCCTCAGGACTGGGCAGTGGTCCTGCTCTCTGGATCCCTGGTGGTAGACCCGTCCCTTTGGCCCTGGGCAGAGGTCCCACCCTCTCAGGCCTGGGCAGTGGCCCTGTTCTCTGGAATCTAGCAGGTCCAAATGGCTCAGTTATCTGCATGTATAGCTTTTCCAGTCATTCTTCCTTCTTTTTGTCCTTTTCAGTTTCTTTTAGTACAGGCTGGTTGTGTTTCTGAGGTATAAAATTCTAAAAAAATTTTGTTGGCCTCCCCTGCAATTCATGGAGGTCCAAGCCAACAGAAAAGAGGGTGCTTTATAGATCTTTACTGCATAACTGCATCTCAATTCCTGGCTTCTGCTAGATGGTTGATTGGATCCGTAAATCACACTTATGGATACTGTAAGTCATAATATCTTTATCAATGGTTGTTCTGCCATACGTTTAGTCTTCTCTCCAGAACACAGTTTGTTTCTTTCTTTCTTTATTTAGAGATGGTGTCTTGCTCTGTCACCCAGGCTGGAGTGTGGTGGCATTATCATGGCTCGCTGCAGCCTTGACCTCCCTGGGCTTAGATAATCCTCCTACCTCAGCCTCCCGAGTAGCTGGGACTACAGGCACACACCAGCATACCTGGCTAGTTTTTATATTTTCTTGTAGAGATGGAGTTTTGCCATGTTACCCAGGCTGGTCTTAAACTCCTGGACTCAAGTGATCTGCCCACTTTGGACTCCCAAAGTACTAGGATTACAGGTGTGAACCACCATGCCCAGTCAGAACACAGCTTATTTACTTTTTTTTGCAATATGGTTAGGTTGAGAATGTTATAAATCTTCAAGTTCCAGTTCCTTTATGCTTAACAATTTGCTCCTTAATTTATCTATTTCCTTTCTCATCTTACTCTAAGCATCAAGGCAGAAACAGGCTGCATGTTGTACACTTTCCTTGGAAATTTCCTTCTTTAAATATCCAAGCTCATCTCTTACAAGTTCTACTTCCTTCCCAACAGTAGAAGGTAATTCAGCCAAATCCTTTGACATTTTGTAATAAAGATCACCTTTCTTCCAGTGCCCAATAACTTGTTCCTCATTTCCACCAGGAACCTCACCAAAAGTACCTTTAACATTCACATTTCAAGCAATATTCTCTTTAAGGCAATCTAGGCTGCTTCTGTAACGAGCCTCAAAATGTTTCCAGCCTCTGCCCACTACCCAATTACAAAGCTAGTTTCATAATTTTAGGTATTTGTTACAGCAAGGATCCCACTTCCCAATACCAAAATCTCTATTAGTTTTCTAGGGCTGCCAAAACAAACTACCACACACTGGGTGCTTAAAACAATAGAAATTTATTGTCTCACAGTTCTGGAGGGTAGAAATCTAAAATCAAGGTGTTGATAGTGTGGAGTCCTAACTAGGGAAAAATAGTTGGGATGGTGGGACCGAGAGAAAAACAAAAGGAAAAGCTATGTCTGCCTCTTTTTTTCTTCTTTTTTTTCTTCTTTTTCTTCTTCTTTTTTTTTTTTTGAGATGGAGTCTTGTTCTCTTGTCCAGGCTGGCATGATCTCGGCTCACAGCAACCTCTGCCTTCCGGGTTCAAGCAATTCTCCTGTCTCAGCCTCCCGAGTAGCTGGGACTACAGGCACATGCCACCACTCCCAGCTAATTTTTGTATTTTAGTAGAGACTGGGTTTCACCATATTGGTCAGGCTGGTCTCGAACTCCTCACCTCAGGTTATCCACTTGCCTCAGCCTCCCAAAGTACTGGGATTACAGGCATGAGCCACTGCACCCAGCCTATGTCCGCCTTTCTTCATAGTCCAGGACACACAGCCCTCCTGCACAAATAACTCACCATCTTCCTGTGTCCAGCTATCACCAGACCCCTGGGTAATAGGAAAATGCAAGTTAGTTCCCAGTACTGATAACCTTGGCATTATCAGTACTGCCTAAAACCCTCGTCAGGACACAGCACAAGCACCATACTATAAAATCCCCAGCAAGCCTTTGTCTACTGGCAGTCAGCTCTTCTCTTGCTAACTTGCCCATTGCAGTCTTGCATTATGCTTTTGTACTTTAGTAAGTCATCTTTTCTTTACTTACAACTGTCTTGGTTAATTCTTATCTGCGCGCCACCAGCCCCAGATAGTCGCTGCTCACCTGCAACATTTTGGTGGCCTGTACAGGAGCTCCAATCTCTGTGCAGGAACTTTCTGTCTCCTTACAGGGAACCCTCTCCCCTCTCAATTTTTCTTTCCCAACTCGGGACCCTTGGTGGACAGCATCTAAGCGTGGAGACAACTGTAGGTCTCTGGCTGGGGCTACACTCCAGCGGGACTGAAAGGTGTCTGTGTGGGAAGCATCTGAGCGCCATGCTCATTTGGGTGAGTGAGGGACCTGAGTTAGTTTTCTCTGTTCAGTCTCCCAGCAGCCTGCTTCTAGTATCCCTCTGGCAATTGATGGTAACTGGCTGGGGCCACTCTCCAGTGTTGCCTGAAGGCCAGAGAGTGAACAGGGCTGGTTGCCTTGCCTGGAAGGAAGACTGCCTCTCTTATCTTTTCTAGTCTAAAGTCCCTAATTCCTATGTGTGATTTAGCTGACAGCAGAAGCTCGTTCAGAGTGAATTCACACATGTTTTGGGTGACTCAGATCATCTTTCTTACTCTGAATTCTCCTGTGGAGTCAGCCAGCCATCCTGTTCTGCACGTTGCTCAACCAGGTGATCTCAGCCTCAGAAAGGCAAGTCTCCCTTACCTGCTCCTCTCCTGGGCCAGCACCAAATGGAGTTCTTCCTTTACCATTTTTCCTCGTACCTGGACTGCTCGCCCAGCGTGAGTGAGTACCTGGACTGGCCATCCAGTGTAAGACCCCTGAGTGACTGGCTGAGAGGTCTTTTGTAATAGCTGGGATGCCCCTTTAGAAAGTGCACCTGAGTCCCTCAGCAGACATGAGTGGAACCTTTTATATTTTGGTGGGATGCCCCAAGAGAAAGTGTGGTTCAATTAGCCCCAAATGGCTCATTTTCCAGTCCCACTATGGGACAAACTCTGTCAGTTCCTTCAGACCCACCTCTAGGCTGCATTCTAAAACATTGGGATAAATTTCACCCTCAAACTCTCAAAAAGAAACATCTAATTTTTTCGTGTAATACAGCATGGCCCCTATGCAAGAAACCCTCAAATTAGCCTCCTCAGTATTTTACAACCAAGAACAGCAGAAGGACAGGTCTGAGGAGAGAGAAAAGTGCAGGGACAAAAAGGCAGGCTAAACTGTTGGCTGCTTTACAAGCCCCAGCCCCCTCCAAGTTGTCCTAAGGACACTCCTCCAGATAACTGCCATCAGTGCAGAAGGCCAGGCCACTAAAAGGCAACGTGCCCCAATGGGATAAATGGGGAAACCCCTGCAGGGCTTGTCCCCTCTGCCACAAACTCGGCCAGTAGAAACAGGACTGCCCTGAGAACCAAAGCCTCCCTTGCCCCCCAGGACG